GCTCGAAATTTCAACTAAACAATATTTAGTTGAGGTTATTTAGATAATTTTATGTATATAAGGGCGCTTGATTCGTTTGTATTCAAGGGGCTAGTCGAGCACTCGAGCGTAAAAACTACAGGCTTGAGCTCGAGTCGAGTACTGCCGAGTCGCTCGATTCGTTTGCGACCCTAAAGAAAACCTAAATTATGATTAGACAAATTGAGTTGTCATACTTTTCAAACAAAACTGCATATTTATACCACGAAATGCCTTGTTTATATTGTTTTTAATAATGACATTTGAATATTAAAATATGTTGTGTTTAAAAATTTGAATATGAAATTACGTGTAGAGGAAAATATATGTTTATCTCACCTGGTCAACAGCAACAACTGAGCCTACACCCTTGTACCAGTATGACTCCTTCCTCAAAATCCTCACCTGAAATTAATTAATTTTGCTTGATTTAAGTAATGACAAGTAATTATATTCTATAATTCATTCTAGTTTTTTTATTAATCTGAAAAAAGGGGAAAATAGTAAGTCTAAAATACCGATTGAGATTTGCCAATGATACTCAGTACTCACCTTCGAGCCCCTCGGGGGGCCGACCGGCGGCGGCTTGGCAGCCTTGGGGGCTTCGGCGGCGGGGGCGTAGGCTGCTGGCGCCGCCGCCTCGTCCGCAGCCCGAACCACAATTCTCGGATTCCTGTATCTCCTGGAGAAGAACGCCACGCCGCTTTTGGCGGTGGTCGAGCCGGACGCGACGGTCGGCGCCACCGCAAATCCGCACCCGGCGGATGCTATGCTGCTGGTCGCCATTTTTTTTTATTTCTCTTCTTTATTTTTTTATTTTCTCAGTCCACAATTTCAATCCTGGAACTTGCTTTGTGATGGTTTTTGCGAGGGGGTTGAATTTTGGTAGAGATGTAAATGGGTCGGGTCGGGTACGGGTTTTGGCAAACCCAGACCCGACCCGTGTATAAATTACCCTACCCAAACCCGACCCGTTACCCGGTTAGTGATCTTCGGGTTCGGGTTGGGTTTTACCCGTCGGGTTAGCGGGTTTTCTTCGGGTAAACGGGTAACCCGAGTTCTTAAATTTTGGCTTTACACGACCCATCTCGTTTGATATGAAAAAATAAAATACAATAATTTTACAATTAGTTATAATGTAACAAATAATTTATCAACTAAGTTTGACAATAAAAACTATAAAAAAAAATATATTATTTTTGAAATAGATAATAAGATATAATTATTTAACTTTTATAATCTATTTAATAATATAACACTTAAAAATTAAGTATTTAATTTTTTTATTGTACAATTAACAAAAAATGATAATAAAATAATAAAAATA